GGATGGGAAAGTTTTTTAATTTTCCTTGAAAACGTGAACTGTTTCCTCTAGCGGAGGCTCGATTTGCAGTGTGCACACATCGTCCGCGGAATGATCGAAATGATTGCGATTGCCGCATCATTTCAAAACAACTCAATTTTGGAAGAAATGTTAAAGGAAACTGATACAAATAAGTAAATTGCTTTATCTATGGTCTATAATTGTTGCATTAGAGCTCTTCTACCCAGTAGACTAAACAAACAAACAAACAAACAAACTCGGCGTGTATACTGAGAGAAGTTGAATTGAAGAACGTTCAATTATATCAAGTGCATATGTAGGCCTACTGTATATAAATGTTAACATGACAATGAATGACGTGTGGCGTTCTAGCCTAGTGGTAAAGGCGTCATACTTTTTTTTGATTAGGTGTAAAACATTTTTACCAGGGTTCAAACCTGTGTACCTCCTTTTTTTAGCTGTATTTTTTTGTAAAATTAAAAAAAATAATTTTTGCTTGATTTTATCTGGTTTGTTAATTATTATTATTTTTTAGCTGTATTTTTTTTTGTTTTTGTTTTTTGAGTTTTTTTCTGTTTAATTTTTCGTCTCTGGCTTCAGTACATGGATATGATTGACATCTTGGAACGCTTCCTTAAAAGCCGAAGGGTTCATGGGACTGGTGGTTACATTTACAATCCTTGCAAGACATGCTCCCCTTCCTTGCTGCTGCCGAGCACTCACACAGTACACCAAGTCAGTCTATATCTACCTTCCGAAGATGAGACAGCTTGAAGATCAGCACCCATCAGTTTTCAGTGCCTTCTCATGTGGCTTTCACGTTCTGGGTCGAAGTGATCGCTTCTGGGCTGGATTGAGTACTGATCTCGTGATTGAGCAAGTCTTAATGAAAAACCCAAAGTCTGCAGGAAGACTGACGCGTGGTAGAGGCATGGAAGATACACAGAGAACACAGTGGCTCATGTCCATGCCAACTTGTGCTGATAATCTGATATAATATGCTCTGAAATGCAGCGGGTTACTGGTACAGAATTAAATACAAGTCAACAACATATTGAAGTCAGTGATGCCAGACAGACGAGAGATGATAAAGATATGAGACTGCTTCTTAGTTTCCTGAAAGATCGCAACCACTTTGCCAGTGATCAAACATTACAGAATATATGCACAGGGGGGGCAGCACATTCCACAGTTAATGCCGACTCTGCAAAAGATGTTGGCAAGGCTATGTTACAGACCATGCAGGGCAAACCTGTGAAGGACTCCACCTTCAAAAGAAAAGACCAAGTTGTTAGCATGGACACCAAAATCTCTGCCAAAATGGAGGGTGAAAACATACAAAGTCAATCCTCAACGTTGACGATTATTATCTCCCATCTGTGTTGAAGTATGAACTGACGACCCCACCACCATCTCTCTTTGAGCCATCAGGATTGATGAGAGAGGCACACGCATCCAAGCTGGCTGATTCAATGAGAGACCTCTTCAAAGATGATCCACCATAGAAAGATGAGTACATGGACATGATGACCATATTGGACGGGGGTTCACGTCTTCACAAAATCCCCTGGAGGAAGAAAGAGTCCGTTTCCGTAATTTGTAATAGGTATGCTGAATATGTTAACAGGAAATATTTTAAGCCCATTGTGGTGTTTGATGGGTAAGAGTCGGGCCCATCAGTAAAAGATGCCGCTTTCCTCAGGCGTTCTGCAGGTGTGGTCGGACCAGCTGTTGTCTTCACCAAAGAAATGCCATTGACCTCAAGCAATGAACACTTCCTTTCAAATCCAAGGAACAAACAGGAGTTCGTTCACCTCCTTAGGGGCACTCTGATGGCTCTTGGTTGCCACTGTCTTCACGTTGCTGGAGATGCCGACACACTCATAGTAAAAACTGCCATGGAGTATGCAGCAACCCACCCTGTAGCTGTCATTGGAGAAGATAGAGACTTGCTCGTGCTCCTTTGTCCCCATGCACAGCTCAGTAGCAGGCCTATTATCTTCAGATCAGACAGAAAAGCTGGCGACAATCACACAAGTTTAAACATCCAGAACCTGTAGGAGAAACTAGGCGAAGAAACGTGTCATTTTCTTCATGCTGTCAAAGGCTGTGATTTAACTTTGAGACTTTTTGGGCTGGGAAAAATGGTTCCAATGAGAAAATTGACAGATGCTCATTTTCGAAAGCGAGCTCATATTTTTTAGCATAACAGGAAAGACTCAGTAAGACGTCAATGATGCTGGAGAAAGAGCTTTAGTCAGTCTCTACAATGGCACTGTTGCAGACACCCTTGGCCAACTGCGTTACAAAAAGTTCTATGTAAGGGTTGCATCATGTGCCACATCCGTCCAAATCCAATGCTTGCCGCCAACCAGTACTGCAGCCAAGTACCACAGTCTTCGGATGTATCTTCAAGTGCAGGTAATATTCAAGACACAATGGGGATGGCAGCTGCCAGATGATCACCTAGAGCCATGCATGACAGATATGCCTCCTGTCCCACATTCTCTGTTGAGGTGATTAAGTGCAGCTGTAGAACAGATTGTAAGTCCACAAATTGTACGTGTCGTCGCCACGGACTGGAATGCTCCATTTCCTGTGAAGGTTGCATGGGTTAGACCTGCACAAATTGCCCATCACTTGCTGAGGAAGATATCATCAGTCTCATGGAGTTTCCTGACGGGCTTGATACTCTTGAAATACCGGACATGATGAACGTGCACGATCTACTGTTGTGAAATTCCATTTGGTGTGTTTGTGTTCCTATATGGCCTCCAAGCCTTTTCAATACCACATATTCAAACAGCATTTTTATCGAGCTTTCAAACGAGGTGCAACATTACCATGTTCTAAAAGGTATTTTTATAAAGTTGACCCCGGTGACGTCATGAGCTAAAAATAGCATTTCCCATTAATGCGTGAATGTACATTTTTGATATGTTGAAAGTGACCTAATTCTATGTGCATCCCAATACTTTTTGTTTCTTTTGCAATTTTTTCCTTTCTTCCAGTATTTTTGTCGTGCCTCTCCTACACTATGTTGTTGTTGTAGTTCAAATATTGCAGTTTAGTAGTTGCTTTTGTTTTATTATTGCTCGCTGTTGCTGTTGCTGCTGTTGCTACTGTTGCTGCTGTTGCTGCTGTTGCTGCTGTTGCTGCTGTTGCTGCTGTTGCTGCTGCCACCGCTGTTGTTGTTGTTGCTGTTGTTATTATTGTTGTTGGGTGCGTATACGTGTGCGTGTGTGAGTGAGTGTGAGTGTGGTGGGGGTTTTTGTGTTGTTTTTTGTTTAGTTTGTGTTCGTTGTTACTTTTTTTGGGGAGGGGGGGGATTGAGTGCTTTAGAGCCGAAGAGTTCGGAAGGGAAGTTTGGGAGCCCAGCACAGAGAAGAAGTGAAGGGTGGAGAGGGGTGGGGGAAGAAGGTGGAGACAAAAGCGGACGGCAGAACATGGTCAGAGATGAGGAAAGGATGTGATAAGGGGAAAAAATTAAGAAAAGAAAACTTTCCATCCCTGTCAAGTAAGTTTTTAACCCGTGAACTATTGAATGAGAGGCAAACACCATAACCTGGACACTAAGAAAGCCCCCCGGTATGGTATTCACACCATTTCATTTTATTCAAAGAAGGGAATATCGTTGCTAAAGCCATGTTCGCATTGGTAGACAAGAGTTATCGTCAAGTATCTTGTCAGATCAGCACACCATTCCTCGTAATGCGGCGTCTGAAACTGAAGAGCAGTGGTTAGGGGAATTGTCGCCGCACGCTGAAGGTATGAGCTCGATTCCCATGTGAGAAGCGGGAAATACTGTGAATAATCCCTTTTTTCGAGTGACGGAGATTTATAGTTTTCTATATGAGTTTATTAAAAAAGGTTTCTTTATCTAGTCTCACTTGTTGTGAAAAAATATTATTAAGTTAAGACAAAATGATACAAACTGCTGTGCAAAGTATGGGTGGGCATCCATTCACCTGTCAAAGAGATAGATATATTTGAGGATAAATTGCGACTCAAAATCTAACCGCACTTTCGTATGACCTCGAAGAACTGAACCCCATTAGGACTAGATCTAGGCCTAGGCCTAGTCTATCAGGTTAGAATGCGCACCACAAGAACGATCCATTCGTGGGTCATTGGTGCTGAACGCATGAATGTCATGTCAACAATGACGTTTCCTGCTTAGAGATTAAATCAAACATTCAACCTTTCTTTACAGTCCCTTTTTCTCTGGACCAATTCTCAATTTGCTTATATTGGTGCAGCCCTTGGAACAGGGCTAGATCTAGATCTACTGCTGCGCGAGGAAATTCAAGAGTGTTCAGTTGCTCTTTTTGGGAGGTTAATTTAAAAAGACGAACGTTTCATGGAACATCGTGTATGAATAGATCAAAAACTCCAATCTAATGAATTGTGCAGTAGAATTTGAGTTATTTATTGTCATGTGCATTTTTCTTGTTCAATGCACTTGTCAGTCGTGTCCAGCATCGCCTGGTAGGACCGTTGTGCAGAAAGTTTTCTTTTCGTCTCAGGAAAATCCCAATAAAGCCTATCACATGAACAAGTGTCGGAAATATGGCGGGACGATGGCGAAGATCCAGACGCTTGAGGATGAGATGGGGGTCAAGAAATTGCTGACCGGAGAAGAGAACTTGGAGCAGCTAGGCATTGATTATGTCATGATAGGCGGGTTGGCAGACTCAAGGGCGATGAATATATTTCGTTGGGAGAATGGGCCGCTTGTCGGTAATTCCGAGCGCCCGATTTGGAAAAAGCCAGAGCCTAACAGGAACCATGAGAATTGTCTGTCTGTTCCAACCAACTCGAACATGTCCTACGCGGACTTTCCTTGCGGTTTTGAAAGTCATGGGGTATGTGAAGCTTTTCCGCAGTTGTCGAAAGAGCACTTGGCCTGTGAGGACACGCTCTGCATATGCCCCGGAATGGAAATGGCTTGCAAATGCAGGGATAGCTGCGTCAGGGCTTACGTTGCCGACATCTGTGACTACTCCCCTTGTCGGTTCGACAGGTACGGCTCGTCCTGTGAGTTCCAGTGCCGGTGCAAGGACAAGCGTGCCTGTGATATGGTCAGCGGTAAGTGTCCGGCGGGCTGCCAGTACGGCTGGAAGGGCGAGTCTTGCAACCAGACGGCCTGTCCGCTGAACCGGTTCGGCGGTTTCTGCGAGGGCTTCTGTTACTGCAGGCAGGGCGATCAGTGCAACATCACCAACGGCGACTGCTACAACGGCTGCGAGGAATACGCGTACGGGCCCAGCTGTGAGAACTCGGGCTGTAAAGTCGGGAAATACGGGCCCCAATGTACGAAAGACTGCTCTTACTGCGGCTCGAAGGTTCCATGTTCCAGGGATAAAGGCGTCTGCAGTACGAGAAAGTGTCCGGGAAAGTACAGGGGAGGGCCTTTTTGCATGGACATCTTCTGTCCTGTAGGGCTTTTTGGCAGCAACTGTACCCAGAAGTGTCGATGTTCGAAACAGTCGCCGTGCGATATCAACACGGGCAAATGTCTCTTTGAAGAAGGTATTTAGCTAATAATTGATAGCATTAATTATTGTATAGCGCAAATTCCCTCTTCAAAGCAAGCACTATGCGCTTTGCATTTTATGCTATTACCCCCAGCAGTCATACCTGATTGTATTTCGAAACAATCTCAACTTTCTGGGAAGCACAAAGTGCATTCACAGCGCGAAGAAGAGGCTGAATCATCCCATTATATTTGTTTTAGTAAGTGTTTTACAGCAGAAGCAACACAAATAGAAGGTTATATAAGTGACAAAATTTGGAGTTGTTAGAGAGTAATGTATAGAGAAAAGAAGGATATAGATCTCTCTCTCTTAGAGAAAAGAAGGATATAGATCTCTCTCTCT